GACACACACACACAAACACACATACACACACACACACACACGGATCCCTCGCGGCTTCTCTAGGTCCCAGATCAAGGCCTCGCTTGCACGCACGCCTGCCCCTTTCTTTCGCCTGCCGATGGAAGTTGAAGTGTAAAGTCCCACCAGGAAGTGTAAAACTATGGTGGTTACAAGTCGGCAGTCCTCCACATTCCTCTCTCTGTCCCCTCCAAAACGACGACGCATTTGCGATTTGGCCGGCGAACCTCAACCATGAAGGATTACGTTCGAGCATTCTGTGTTCTGTTTGTGTGTGTGAATTCCCTGCTTATCACACCTGTAGTTGCAGCTGATGAGGTGGTAAGTTTGGCCCGACAACTCAGACACTGTGTGTTGATCTGTAGGCCTACGTGTGTTGTGAAAGGGGGGCTGTCCAGTTTGTTACAGGCCCAGTTTGTCACAATTTCATTTAACTATTTGAGTATTGATGACTGTCATAATTACATCACTGTAGTTGTAACTTAAGTTTAAAAAAAATAAATTGGTGGTGTAGAGGTAGAGATTCTCTAGTCCCTCTAAAATGTCAATTCAGCTTGCTTTGTTCAATTATATTTCTCCCTTTAAAAAAATTCAAATCAAAGCGAATTACTCTGTAAAATTTCAACAATGAATGTTCTTGTGTTAAAAACAATTGAAAAATAATATTCAATTCATACTTTAATCGATCAATCATTCTTTTACTACTCATTTTGAGAATGTCAGTGTGACTTCCGTCATGCAGGGCGGCACAGTCGATAGGCCTATATCTAGGTCTTGACGTCTTGATAAACTGGGCCAACAAACTGGCATGCCTGGCTTCCCTCATGTGTACGTGTGTTGTAAAAGTGTGTTGTAGAAGTGCGTTGTAATGCCCACGCGTGTCATTTTTATGATAACTTTCTAACTTTCTACTTTTCCCGGCTTCTGTTACCTTACTGTACTTACAGTGTCGAGGGAAGAAGCAGACTTCTAGATCTAGATCTATATCTAGATTCTTCTAAATATAGGCTACATTTAGATCGAGATTCTAGATCTCTTGTTTGTTGTAGGCCCTATCGCCTGTTGCATGGTCAGACTGTTCTAGATCTAGATCTAGACCTAGCTAGTTGTAGTCATATATATATATATATATTCCTTTACCCAAACCAAACAAAGACCACACACACCCATCCAATTACAGACCAATAGCAGTAACGAGCTGTCTGTGCAAATTTATAGATAGTATGATCCACAGGCATATTATATATTATATATATATTACCGGTGTATCTAAATTTAGAGTTAGTGTTAGTAAGGCTTTACGGTGCTCACTACTGCATCCATATGAGCCCGAAGGGGTTGGTGTCAGCAGAGAAGTCCAAACAGGGAATCAGGCTTACTCTACTGTGCATAAAACATGTTAATATCC